TGTGTAATAACAATTCATAGTGTAACAACAATTGCCCAAAATATTGTGTCGCGTGTCATAAATGGCACGCGTGCCATTGGTTCGCCAACCCTGCTATAGTCATTTCATCGCGAAAACTGGATCTTTTAGAATATATCAGTAAAAAAAGGTTTAAAGCAAAATGTTCGAAACATATTTTTTTACTTTACACTTTCATCGTGGCAATGACGCGCCTTTGTATCACCATCTGCTCTTAAAGTTCCCCCACAGCACTAAAATTGAAACAAAACGCAATTTCCTTTAAAACTCACTTATTTTGCTCTAAGAAATAATAATCAATAGCAATCAATAACCATATTCACTAATACAACAATAGAGCACAGCGAATATTCCTAGAAGACGAGTCATCTCGTCCGTCGCGATGAAAGGGTTAAAGATCGAATTTTTAAGCACTATGGTGCTATCCCAATGATTCAAGTGTCAAACTTTAAATTAATCCAATTAAACGCTGCAGGGTGATAAACAAATTATATGAAACCATACAGTAAAAGCTGGATACAACGGGTGCTGTATATTATGAGAAATATGACAAATTTCTAAGACAAGCCTGGTTGGTAGGACACTGGACCCATGTCCAAGAGTTTGTGGGTTCGATCCCCACCAGCCGAAGATTCTCCACATAGTAATGGTGACTGATGCACGTTAAATCTGTTTAGTCACTAAGTCCTCCATGTTCACATAACAAATCAATACCTCTGGGGGTACTGATCCAGGAGTTACCTTGTCTTCTGAATTGATTCAAAATTACAAGGCTACAGAGTTGAACATTAGTAGTTGTAAACCCAAAATTGGGTCGGCTGTTCAACGACGGATATAATATAAAATAAAAGACATCCTAATATTAAAGATTATAACGAATTAAAATTTACTAGTCTTCCGCTATTACGACAAAATTGTTTTAGGGAATTACACTTTTCTGTTGTTTAAGTGAACAATGTTATACGATAAAGGTTTAACTTGAAGACATTTCATTTTTTTTCTTCTGATTATTAGTATCAATACAGAAAAAAAAAGACAAGATTTCTTCGAACAAATTATTTTATAAAGCAATGTTAGTACGACCACTGGCTAAGTTATTCTCTTCCCAAAAGAATAAAAATTCGACTGATGTTTTTCATGCATTTCAAAAGAATGCACTGTTTATCACCAAATCTTTAGAATTGTTTAAGAAAATAAGAGCAGAGAATTTTTTGCAAAAATTTTTGACTAATAAGCTGAAAATATTAACATTGCAAGATGATTCCACCTTCATTTAAATCCTTTTTTTAAAAAAAAATTCCAGAAAAATATTTTACTTATTGCCAATAACGTTTGAAATTTTTACCACATTCAAATTGGACTTTTTATAACCTGTGGGTAAAATATTATTATTTCCGCACCTGCTTTGTTTAGAACTATTATTTCTATCACTAATAACTTGTTAAGAACGACCTGAATTTGAAATCCGGGGGCCCTATTGGTTCTCAAATTTACATTTAATTCATTTACATCTTCATCATCTTTTAAACTTTTTATACATATAACAATATCTTTCTAAAATTGCGCTTATATTTATTTTAATTTTCGTTAATTTATAATTCTAATTGACAATTCTTAAGGAAAATCACAAATTAAAAAAAAAAATCTTTGAAACATTTAAGGGGCTCCCCAGACTTGTAGGAACCCTAGGTTCAGATCTCTCCAGCCTTATGATAAATAATGTCCTGTTCTTAACACTTACTTTGTTGACTACTTTCATAAATTTTACTCAACGTATTACTATTATTTATGAACTATTTCATAATATTCATTTAATTTCTCCAAACCTATTTCATAATATTCATTTTTTGACCAAGATTCTAAAAAAAGTAATTTGAGGACAGTGATTGTGGAGCACCTTTTACTTATACAGTAGGGAACCGATTATCCGGAACGGTCGGGACGATCGCTATTCCGGATAACTGATTTTTCCGGTTTTCTGAATCGCTACAAAAAGCCGTTTTTTTTATTGTTAAGCCCAACTAAAAATAAAGAAAAATCGGAAATAATCTTAAAAATAGGAAAAAACGATGAAGTAATACACTAATGATTATTTCCAAAATGATGGTAAGGTAAACATCTTTAAAAAAAAAAAAAAAAATCGTAAAATCTTATGAGGAAAAAAAAAAATTTTTTTTTTTAAATGGCGAGAAAATTTATCGAATTTCGTTCCGGTTTTTTCGTTTTCCGGTTCTCTGATTTCCGGATAACGGGTTCTGTACTGTATAATATATTTACCCGCAAGAATATAGAATGCCAAAGAACAAACCTATTTGTCGCACAATGAAAAGCATGAAGAAATTAGTGATGTCCCAGCATTCCACACACTTGTCTTTTACAGGCCTTATCGAATATTCTAAATAATAACTAAATAAGCCGGTTAAATTAAAATCTGCGAAAGAAAAAAAAACTGGCTTATTGTATAAAGAAGATGTTCCCTTCAGACCTCAGCTCTGTAATATTTCAAATAATAATACGCAGTTTCTTCTCCGTGATTTACTTGTACCAATGCAAAGAGTTTATTCAGTTACAACCAATCAAACAAAAAGAAAATCCTACGAATATACTTTCAAAAGAACTTATGAATTGACCCAACAACAGTATTTTTCAGGAATGAACGTGTTTTAAATAAAAACCTTTTCAAGATTTTCATTTCCTATTTTGCCAAAAGAGCATTATTATGCATTAGTAAGCATTCGATAGAATGCTTACATATATAATAATTCTCATGATCTTTTTCTGAATAAACATACATTTTTTACAAAGTTTTTGAGTATCTAACCATCAAAATATGAGGGTTAACTGCAACCTGAATAATAAGGTCCTAATAGTTTTGACAGGAGACCAGCAGAAACAGTTGGTATTCTTAATGTTAATTTAATATTTCACTTTAATATATTTCTCCACAGCTTGGAAACTTTTTGAGCAAAATCGATAAATTTTTTTTAACGCAATTATAAAATTTGTTTATTCAAAGATTATTCAGTGTTTTAATGATAATTTATATTTTTTTATTATTTTAGGATCGAAATAAAATTGAATCATAAGGAATACAAATTTTTACACCATTTTAAACTATACAATTTTAAATTACAAAAATTTTAACGAAATCAATTAAATAGTTTCTGAGATATAAAATTTCAAGACAGCCATTTTTTATCTTTCATTTCTCAAGAAATATTCGACTAATTTTGAATTTTATCATTTCAGATTACACAGTTTAAATTTAAACCAAAAATTCGTATACTTCACAGTGGATAAATATTTTGATAATTATTCAATAAAATAATAAATAATCATTAAAAATTATTGTTTACATGGTATTATTATTAGAAAAACTAACTTTATAATAATTGCGGGCAAAAAAAAAAAAAAAACAATTCGATTAATCTTAAAAACTTCCTGTAATATAACAAAATGTTTCAATAAGGTCAACACATCGAAAAGTGCAGATGTTTCTTCTTTTTTGCTGCAAAAGCAAAGTAAATTTTTGTATGGTATTGTTATATTAGTACAAATTAAAGTATTGGCAGGCTAAAATTAAAAGAAGTATTTCTTCAAAAAAGACATTAATATTTCAATATGTTACAAAATCGACACAAAAATATTGCCATAGTCAAACTACATTTACCAGCACTGTAAAACTAACCAAACTTTAATATGGTTAATCAGTCCTCAAATTAAAGTAATAGTACACAATAATTAAAAAAAATTATTTCATTAAAAAAAAGAACTAAAGCAACATTTTTATATAATGAAAGATCTCAATAAAAAGTGGATCTTGCTTTTTTTTTTCTTACTTGAGCCATAATTCTTATTAATAATATGACCATACAAATCAAATAAAACTGGAAACTGATAAGTTTGAAAATAAATTCAATCCTTTATTTAAAAATAACAAAGAAATAACTACACTAAAATTAGTTATGAAACAATAACTGCATAAATTAAATCCAACTGAATGAACAAATCAAATTATCATAGTACTTTGTGCATATTTGGAGAAAAAGTAACAAAGATGTGCTAATTCAAGTGAAAATGTTGCATGTGTAAATGAAGACAATATAATAAAACTTAAAAATATACCACATAAATAATGGAATTTTATATAAAATCACAGCAAAGGAAAAGTAAAACAAGAATATAATACAATATATTTAATAAGGTAAGGAAATAATAACCTGTATGAAATTTCAATCTAGATATTACTTATATACACATCATTCAGGTGAGTTTGAAATCTTTTTTTTTCAAAAAAACAAATAAAATTGCTTATCAAATGTAGTTCTAGCAAAATAACATTTAACTGATAAATGTATGAAAATATAATTATACAAATAACATAACAAAATATATGAGATGAATAAATAAAATGTGTTGAATAGCAGTTGATAATTTTGCAAAAATGAAAAGCTAAAATTTGATGAAACAGGCTTTATGCTAAAGTAAAATGTGAAAAATTTAATATACAAAATTTTCAGAATGTCTGCTAAAGGTTTTACAAAGGTACAAGATTACAAATGTGAGTACATATTCTGAACATCATGACAGTTCTATGCATCACAAATATGTTATTTTATGTTTTTACTATGTAATAATTTATATTTTTTAACACTTCTAGAATCTTTCTAGATTTCTAGTAAAATTACCTTTCTTCTACAGAAATTGTAATATTAAAAACAATGATTTTTTTTTAGTACCTTCAATATGAAGGATTAAGAAAATCACATACAAGGCCTCACATACAAAATAACATTTTAAAAGGTTTTAAAAAAATGAGAACTTTAACCTGTGTCTTAAAATACAATATAAAAAAATTTTTTCATCAATTAAAAAAGGGTGATTTTTTTTTAACATTAAATATATGAAATATATTATACATTTAATGTCAAATTTTTTTCCCTTATAAAAAATACTTTTAATGAATTTAATTTAAAATAATGCATAATGATTAATTTATTTTTAAAGTTTATCTAATGTTATTGTGTATTTTTATAATATTTTTATACTAAACATTTTCCTTTTTACAGTATTTTTTGTATTAAATGCAAAACGCTTATTCTGCATTTGAGGTTTTTATTAATGATTTGAAATATGCCTCTTTGGCAATGAGTACCTTAAGCTTTTGTTCTTTGATTCTTAAGTTTTCTTCCTCAACTCTCAACTTAGCTTGCTCAACTTTCATTTTCATTTTATGTTCTTCTTCTTGGCATTTCACTCTTAAAAAGTGTTCTTTTTCATCCCACTGCAGTCTATATTCAAATTCTTGTCTTCGAAGCAAAGTATCTTCTTCCCTTGCTGCCCTTTTTGCCTGTGAACTAATTACTACCGTTTCTTCATCTTGGATCGAATGACTTGCTTTCCTCTTTGGAGTATTAAGACTATTTTTAAACAGTGTCCTTTCTCCCTCATTGAAAAGAGTTGGTGTCACCAAATATATTTCTGGCTCTTGTGGTAACTGTTCCTAAAATATATAACATATATATAAATATTTATCTGGACAAATTAAAGAATTTACTCCACCAAGTTTTTGTGAAGTGGAGCTTACAATTAAACAATTACAGTTAAATTTACTTGCAATCAGTTTAAACAATCACATTTAAATTTACGATTCATAATTAAATCACAACTGATCTGCTTTACCAGATGGAATAAAATGTGAACTAATTCCTATTAATGAACCAACACTAGCAGAAGAACTATCCAAAATTATTTGTAATATAGTAATTATAATAGTGTAATAATGTAAGGCATTTCTTTAGAAGCATTTCTCAAAATAAGCTAAACATTACAAAGTTCCTATCTAAAACGAAGAAATATTTTAAGAAACAAGCGCAAAATAAGGTAATTTTCATAATAATATAAAACAGATATAATTCCATAGATCAAAAAATAATGGGATGCATTTTTGACCAAAAAGTTACGATCTGGTGACTAGGATATTACAGCTGGCAAACAACTTTTTAACTAACCATTTTTTATATTTAGTTGCCCTATGACCTGTTAATTTTGCCCTAAATCTGACTTTAATATTTAGTATGTAAATCCTTGGAACATACACTTTTATAAACAATACTCATGCAAAAGCTGGATTTTTTTTTCATAGTACTCATTTCTACTTAATGTCAGCTGGTGTCCCATTTTCTTTTCCTTTTTAAATACAAAAAGATAAAATCTAGTACTTTTTAGTAGCGCTTCTAGCCTCAAATTTGGCAAGACTAAACAGTCATGCCAAGACAATAAAATGAAGTATATTACTGGTAATTTGAGTTGGTATATAACGAATGCTCATATACAATATTAATTCCTTCCCTTCTATAAATGTTTTTCCTTAGGTCAATAATATAATCCTCATTTTCTGGGATGCAAAAGGGTGAAAAAATCTGGTTCTTTTTAGAGACACCACCAACTCTCAGCTTAACCCACTGACGGTTAAAGAAATGGGCAAAATTGGGAGAATGTTTCTCCCCTACACACAGTTCCCCTATCAGTTAACATGGGAAAACCGGTTTTGCTATGCAGAGAAGACTGCAGGTTAAAATGCGACTTTTTACGTGCAGAACCGTCAGTGGGTTAAGAGAAAGTCTGAAAAACCCTAATAGCGGGGTAGAGAGCCTGATAAAGTATTAGTACTTCTCAGTACATAAATCACTGCATCATATCTGAAAGCCAATTAAAACCTTGCGAATGTTTACACCCAGAAACTTAAAAAATTCACTTGAATTTATTTCAGGAATAGTATTAAAAGTTTTAACATCATTTTCGAAAATGTGAAGGCGTAAACATATCCTCATTCATCAGTAGTCAACTAGCAAATGAAAAGCTTCTGTAGACCATTGAATAAAATTAAAACATGAAACATTATGTACCTAATCATCTCTTCCTAACTTCATTTGATAATTTAAAGCATTTTTATACAAATGTCTGTTATTCTAAAAGGTTTCATTACCACGAATGGATAGTGGCAATTTGAACTGACATAAATCCTTTCAAATTAAAATATCACACAAATGCATTCAAGTTTTTTATCCTAAATAATAAAACAGAAACAGCTTTTATATTTACTTTAGACATATAATATAAATAATTTAGCACCGAGTCCCCTAACTGTAAAAAGATCTGAAATCCAAAAAAAAAATTATAATAATAATTAAAAACAATTCCAATAACGTATTATTTTGAGCTTTAATTTATTGATTTTAAAATATTTAAAAGAAAATTATATTTTAATTAACTATAAATATGCCAAAGGGTCTCTTAGCTTCGATTTCTACATTAGATAAAATAAGAAAACTAATTTGTATGTAATATAAACAGTGAATATAAAGTCTTTTTAGATTTAATTGGAGAGAATGAAAGCTTCAGTATCAAAGTATGAAATAGGCAGAACTCAGAATTAATGCCGAATTTGTGTTTCAATTATCAATTTTTGCATGCATTGATACTCAAGTATTAAAACAAATAAAAAATATGCTGGAAAAATGTTTTTTTCACTAGCTGCAAACAGTGCTATTAAGAAATAATTATAAACAAAGTAAATAGCCATTTTGACTTCAAATTATAGTACAGTACAGAACCCGTTATCCGGAAATCAGAAAACCGGAAAACCAAAAAACCGGAACGAAATTCGATAAATTTTCCCGCCATTAAAAAAAAATTTTTTTTTTCCTCATAAGATTTTAGGATTTTTCGTTCCTTTTTGAAAGATGTTTACCTTACCATCATTTTGGAAATAATCATTAGTGCATTACTCTATCGTTTTTTCTTCTTTTTAAGATTATTTTCAAAAAAAAAAATTTTTTTTTAGTTGGGTTTAACAATAAAAAACGGCTTTTTGTAGCGATTCAGAAAACCGGAAAAATCAGTTATCCGGAATAGCGATGGTCCCGATCTTTCCGGATAATCGGTTCCCTACTGTAATTGCCATTTTTTACCTATTTTGTATACAAATTGTGAATGAAGGTAATTATGTAACTGGTGTTAACTAAAAACATAGTAATACCATTGTTTCTACTGAATTCAGAATCAAAGGTAATTTTCAGCACCAATGTTTACTTTAATTATTATCCTAAACTAAGCATTCGCATTGAAATATATAACAAAAATATTTTATAAGTCATGGAAACATGGGAGGTGATGAGTGTTAATTCTTTTACATTATTTTATAAATCCCTACTTAATGAACATCACAAAAATGGTGGACATTTAAAATATGAATTAAAGGAAAATGGAAAGTGCAGAAGAGTGTCCTTACAGACCAGAAAATTTTTTTCCCACAAAGTGTCAAAATTAGTAACAAAATTTATCAAAAAATGGGGCAGATGAAAAAAAAACTAAAGAACATTTTTTTAAAAAAATTGCTGCAACAGCATATCACAGTCTGAGGGCAAAGTTAACAGACTATTCTGCAAATATTTCAGTTAGCATGATCTGAAATGTAGCTGCAAACAGTATCTCATAGCTATAATTAATTACAGTCACCATCTGTTGATAAAATTAATAACTAATTTTAAAACTTGGTGAGAACATTCTTGGCTTCCTAAGCAGAACAAAACAAACAGCAAATTTTTCAATTTCCTTCAAATCTGTAATATTTGAGACATTAGGTACATACTTATGTGTGATTAGATAGTTTTTAATTTTATGTTAAATTAAATGGGAAAATATAGACATAGAATTATATAGTTATGTGTTTGGATAAAACATTAGGGTAATAAAATTAAGTAATAAAGTGCGGCTAAAAGCAAAATCACAAATACTGAATAAAAACTTGCTTCAGATTCATTTTCAGTAACCGAATCCTGATTTCCATCATAGACATCTGGAGACATAGAAGATTTAGAAGTAGTAGACTCTTCTATTTCTGAAAAGAAATTAAGAATTCAAAACATTTATTGTGATACAAATAAGATACTTAATACACAAGATTTAAATTGTTTGATAAAATCTAAGCAATCCTGAATCACTTTCATGCTTTTAAGATAACCAATTTCCAATTTTAAAGAAATATTTGGCAGGGCAAACACTTAGACCTGTCAAAGAAAGTTCTGCAAAGCACATTGAAGAACTTAAAACTACAGTAGCAAAGGAGTCAGGTATTAGCATATAGCCAACTAATAATACTTTAAAGAAATACTTTACTACTACAGAATAAATTATATAACAGAAATTTTACTGGATACACAAAAAAAAAACTCTCTCCTAGAGATTTGAATTTAGTATAATATTGGGAACCAATTCATGATTTTAATTTTGAAGCCTATTATTGTGAAAAATTTTATCAACTACCCATTTGGATAAATAATTATAACATAATCTAAATTTTAGTGAAAATATAACTTAAAATAAAACATAAACTAAAAAATTATTTAAAATATTTATCAAGAAGTTAATTCCAAAATTTTAAAAATATGTGGTGTATGTTATTTTATACTAAACTTTTCTCAGTTATACAAAATTTGATTATAAATTACAACATATTTTTGATCAAAAATAATAAATACTACAAACATTACTCATTACAGACATGTAATAAGTAATAATATCTGTGCCAAATCAACATTGGTAGCATCACTATTACTTTTCTCTCTCTTCAAATTAACCTTTCAAGTTATTAAATAAAATATTTCTAAATCTTTTAATGTCCTAAAAATTCAAAAACATATAAAAAAACCAAACATTAAAAAGCTTTTGACAAATTAAAAAAGAAATTACAAATATTTATTGATGATTGTCACACTTCTAATGTAATGTTTATTTTCATTAAAACATTTAAACATTTTTAGTTTCTTAAAAATAAATAAAACATATGGTTGAGAAAATCAATATTTCATACTTGGAGCAATTGGCCTTAGGCCCCTGTTTTTTGGTACGGTAATAATAACAGGCTGACTTGTAAAAGGCTGAATAACAGGCAAGTTTTTTTTCCTAGGGCTAAAATAAAAATAAGTAAATAAATAAATTAAATAAACTGCAAAAAGAAATTAAAATTTTATAAGTAATAACTTTTTTTCCCTACATTTAAAAAATGAACTTAATAGAATTCATGGAAATAAGCATAAACTAATATATGAATAAAGACACTTGCTTTTAGTTCTATGTTAAACATGTACAAGGTTATGTGTGAATAAAATGAAACATTTTCACTCAAAATTCTAGATTTACCAGAAGTTTTACTACAATTACTAATAGGAAATACTTCTTCATGAACAAAATTCTTTACATAAAATTTTTAAAAGTAAAGCATGTTAATTGAAAGTATTAAATGTCTAGATTTAAATATTTTGAGTAGATTTAACAAAGCAACCATTTCCACTGTTTAGTCAAGTAACACTAAAATTCCTCAAACAAATAGACATGACTCTTGTATAAACTGCATGAAGTCTAAATATAGTATAACATCAGAAATACAGACTACTAGAGAGTTGAGAGGGTCCAGAATTCAGATATCTTACTAATAGGATACTAATACTACTTGATACTAATAGGAATACCAAAGTTGATCAAAATTTCCTTTTAAAAAAAAAAAAAAGGTGTGCCCAATTTTATTGTAAATGGAGTTTTTTATTTATTTTTTTGTCCTAGTTTTTTAGCTGTTTTCAATACATTTCCACATATCTTCTAACAGCATGCTATTCACTATGTGAATTTTAAATCATACATTTTAATAGCTAAATACAACCTTTGATCAATTCTTTTTTGTCTGGTCACATTTTTTTTGAGGGGGGGGGTATGCAGTAATTGCCTAGAAATTTCATAAGGTACTTAAAATCTTAATATTAATACACTGGAATTTGGTTAAGAGTTGTGTATTCAAGGAATAACTTTTTGACACTATTGGTTTGCTACAATTTCATCAAAAAACATCCGAAGTTTTGACAAATGCTCCTTTTGAAAGTTATTGCTACAGATTTTGACACGATTTTTAAAATAAAAAAAAATTACGTAGTATTATAATATTAAGACATGTGCTTTTATGCATCTTACCAATAATTTAAAATTGATTTAGCTAATTTTTTTTTTTAGTCAAGAGTTGACACAAATTATCTTATTTTCAGAGGTTTGCAAATTTTAGAAGTTATACTGCATAGAGTTTATTTCTATTATTAATATTTAACTTTTCACTATCAGACTTTCCATTTCTAAAACCTGACTGAAGAGAAGTTATTCCCTTGAAAATGTGTGAATCTAAGAACTACAGTTATATTTATTAAAAATTAATCAAATGCAAGACATTTTTAACAGATAAGTTTTGTGGTTAAGTATTATTTTCGGAGATGAGTTTATAACTTAAACACTTGCTCTTAAAGTAAAATTAAATTACTCAACCAATTGAAACATACAGATTGTCAGAGTGTTCTTGATACATTTTGTCCAGAAAAGACATCATTGATGCATATTCCCATGATTTGTTATTTTTGTTTAGAACGGTCCCAGATTTTTCTTTTTTATATCTGTCACGTAAAGTCCTCCATCGTTTCTGACAGGATTCAGCTGAAAAAAGAAAAAATAAGTATTATTATCAGTATGGCAACACAAGATTAAAATAAGGTTTTTTTAAAGTAATAAAAATTCAAACTGTGCCTCTATAACTCATAACATAGTTAAGCCCTTGTCTTTTAATTTGTTTTTGAAATAAAAAGGAATCATAAGGAAAATCCACTGAAATAAGAATAAAATTAACTTTTTTAGTTTAAAAGGAAATTTTTTTTCCACCTTGTCCAAACATACAACGTGAAAAATGTAATTATTGAAACATACGTACACTTTTAAAGATAATAACAATATGAAACATACCTTTTTTCTAAAAAAAAATTGTTTTTTATTTCAGACTTAGTATAAATGTACACAAAACAGAACATAAGTTGTCATTACAACAAATTTCTCGCGATATGCTAATGCAAAGTTTAAATTCTATTAAATATAATAAAAATAAGAAGAAAGAAATATACATACCAAAACATATTTATTATTTCAAATTATAAAAAAAATTACATATTCATGCGAAAAAAATAGCTCTTGCTTACAAACTTCCAATTATGCTAGAAGAAGCTAGTGAAGCTAGCTGTGGCTTAAATTATAAAATTATTTAATTACATTTAACATTACATATAAAATTATTCAATTACATTGAAATAAAAAAACAAATCCATATTTTTGAACTGTCACAGTTAATTTTGCATTAAAAGAATCTGCATTTCTAATTTAAAGGGTGCCATTACTATGTAACACTGTTATAATTAACACACTAATAATTTTAATCTAAGTGTCAGTTAAGCATTTATAAAATCTACAAATAATAATGCTAGTAAACCTAAAAGTTGGAAGCAATTCACTACGTAGGGCATTCAAGAGTTTCCTTTTTAAGAAAGCGCCTAATATTTAATCTTACCATGATATTTAATTCAATTTAACTCAGAAAACTTACCATAGAGTTAATTGGAGAAGCTTTATAAACGTATGAATTAAGTTTTTTAAATGCTTACTCTAAAAGATAAATTTTCAAAAAAAAATCTTACATTTCCTCTCAAAATAATTGTTTGCATGCATGTTTTACCAATGAAAGTCTAACTGAAAAGCCTGATAATTGTTTCGGGAAGATTTTCATGGCCAAAATAATCATCAAGTCTTGGCAACTTCAAGGTAGTGGCTAAAGAAACTTAAATTTAAAAAAAAAAAAAAAAAAAAAAATTCAAATTTTNAAAAAAAAAAAAAAAAAAAAAAAAAAAAAACAGAAGAGAACTATTTAAAGAATATTACTCTAAACAACTCCCCGAGCAAAACTTTTTTTTTAAATTTGCAAATTCTATTTGACACATTGGTGATTGTAGTTAACGTTACAGATCACAATATAGAAATACTCCCATCACTTCTAAAACAAAATAGAGAAAATGAATTATTGGTAAGGTTTTAATGAAACTAAGTCCAAATGCAATATGTTTGCTAACCCTTGCAGTGTTCTCTGAAGAAAATAAATATAATGTCATCATAAACACCACTATCTTTTCCCTTCCCAAGATTGAAATAGACTGAAATTTGGCCAAAAGATTTCTGCATTGGTACCTGCAACAAAACAATAATCAAGTTTTGGCAATTTCTAAGCAGTGGCATATGAGAAACCAAAAAAAAAATAATAAAAATCACATAGGGGACCAACTTGAATGTCAAATCACTCATTTTTTTTATTATTAATTAGTTCAAAAACCTTTTGAGGATTGTAACTGGCGGGGATATTTTCCTATCTGTAACCATTTGCAAAAACTACAATCACCAAAGATATTTTTAACATTCAAAAATTTTATATGGATGCATGTTCCGCGATACACTAAAAGATATAGCAGGGAGATTTCCGTATCGTGATCTGTGACAGAATAATCGCCAAATCTTGGAAACTTGTGGGCAGTGGCCCGTGAGAAACTAAAAAAAACATCACAGAAAGGGACCAACTCGAAAGGTATAAATCGTGGCAAATGTTTTTTTTCCTTAAATTTGCAAGTTTAAAATCTATTCGGCATTTTGGCGATTGTAGTTGGCGCTACAGATCACGATATGGAAAGATATAGCCACCTACAAGTTAGTCCCCTTCTGTGATGTTTCAAAGGAGATATCCATATCGTGATCTGTGGCATAATAACCGCCAAATCTTGGCAACTTCCGGGCCACGACCCACGAGAAACTTTAAAAAAAACAGCTCAAAAAAGGACTAACTCGAAAGGTATAACTCATGTCCACATCCCAGCAAACGTCTAAGAGTATTTTTTTTTAAATATGCAAGTTTAAAATCAATTTGGAACCTTGACGATTGTAGTACGGAAATATCACCATGGGTTAGTTAGTTTCTGATGAGCCACTGCCTAGAAACAGTCAAAACTTAGTGATTATTTAGCCACAGGTACTGACACTCCTGAATTTACTATTTTTATCTTACTATTTGAATTTCTTTCTGTAAGAAACAAATAACAGCTTCAAATTCAAGAGCAAAAATACACATATATTATCAAAATATAATAAATACACAATAAAATAATAGTTAAAACAACATTTTAATCACAATAAACAAATTTTTCTCACAATCAACTCCCAGAATACCAGCTATTTTCTGCCATGTAAGATATCTAACTTTTTTATTTCTATAATTTTTTAAAAATGGATTATAGAGGCAGGGATGTTCCTCCACAAGTGTAATTAAGTTTTCATTGTCTAGTCGATCTTTAAATGACTTCATTACTGAAAACACAAACTTTGCAAGAGAAAATATTTTGCTCTCTGTTGACAAACAACTGAATTATTCGAATTTCCTCGACTCCGTTCTATCAAAAATTATCGTACTTCCGGAAAAACCGGTCCGATGCGGTGATCCGGATGCAGCGAATGTGGCACGCATGTACAAAATTTTTGCCGCATTAGCTTTATTCGCATTTCCGGAAAAGAGCAGAAGTATATAAAACAAGTTTCTTGGCAACGATTTTAATGCATTGGTGATTTTAAGCACTTATTTTCGGGTATCCTAATCTGAAGATGAAGAGAAGAGAACAGCTTGTTGTTTGTCAACAAAGCGAAAGATAATGAAAAGATGGGGAAATCGATTGAACATCCAAATTTAGGGACTGATTTTGGTAATTTTTATATAATTCTATTCCTACTGTTAATGATATAATTAAAACAAATTTTATGAAAATAAAATATAAAAATTCCCCAATTTATAAATAATATTAAATTAGACCGTGAACTCTCACGACAATCTTTTGAATTGATTTTTGAATCGACAATTGTTTGAAAAAATTAAAATCACTACAAAGAGCTATAATTATTTTTCATCTTATAATTTTTTTGACTTGCGACTTACTTCGCCATATCATTATTAGGTTCAGAAGTGTAATGAGACGAGCACGACGTTCCGATACTTTTTATTAAGGCGGAACGTAGATCAGGTATATGTTATTTAAATGACTTCATTATTGAAAACACATATTTTCAATAATGAAGTGATTTTTCGCTCCAACTACAATCTCCAAGGTGCCTAATGGATTTTAAACTAGCAAATTTAAGAAGAAAAAAAATTAACGAGAAGATATTTGCTTGGAAGTGGCTACAGATTAGATAAATTTTGTGGATTGTTTTTTGTATGTGTGTGTTTCTAGCTACTACTAACGATTTCATTATTTTGAAAAAAAATTTTATTGTGTTGATTATTTATAAAAACAAAATAATTTGTGCGATCCCCCCACCAACACAATGCGAGAATATCACCCTTAATATTGCAATAAGAAACTATTACATGTTTAATTTTAAAAAATTATGTATAGATACATATATATTATATTTAAAAAAAATATTGTAGTTTTTTTTCGTAAACATAGCGCTTTTGTTATCTTAAATTAGAAAAATATTAGTGCTGGAGAGTTTTGTCGCAGAAAGCTCGAAAAAATTCTGCAACAGGACTAAAAATACTAAACTTTTTTGGCTTTTTTGTCTTTTCTTTTTTAAAATTTTATTTTAGTAACTTTCTCACATTCTCTTAAGATAATTTAATTCCAACTTTAATTTTTTAAGTGTACTTTTTTGTTTTTACTTGATTCTTCTCTTCCATTTGTTAGATGTTTGTAGAAAACTCTGGGGATCTAAAAATTATGTGTCTATTAACGTACCAGCACTGGAAAGTGGTATCTCAATTTTAGGTAAAAGAAAACTGGATAAAAATGGAGAGGTGAACAGTTTCATATTTGCATTTGTATCAATTGAAATTATTCTTGTGCTCATTGAGCTGTAAAAGAACTATTCTACTAAAACAGGGTGCGTAGCATTTTTAAAAAGTGCTTAAAGGTGCTTATTTTTGATTTTCGTTTTTTAAAGCCCTTAAATGTGCTTTTTTACATTGGGTGTTTTTAAAAAGTGCTCAATTTTCCATTTTTCAGAATGAAATTTTTCCTTTACGATGATTTTCGCTATGAATTATGCAAAAGGACAAAGTTCACATTGTTCTATTCAAAATTTTCACAATTAATTAAACCCCAATCTATTCCAGCGTATTGTCAGTCCACAGCGTATGAAAACGCCTTTCGTTTTAGATTATTCAAAATTTCATGATTTTTAACAAACAATGCCAAAAGGTTTTTTTTTACATGACGGTTAAAACAAGATAAAACCGACAATTATCGAAAACTTTCCAACACTGCCTAATTATTATATTTTTTTAGAGTGCTTACAAATATTTTTTGAGTGCTTAAGAGGTGCTTATTTTTTGTTGAATAATTTGGCTACGCACCCTGTAAAAGCATTACTAGTAATTTTTTTGCTTTTTTTAAAAAAAATTTTTATGTTTGTTGTCATGTTTTCTTTTGTATGTAAATAGTAGATATATAACTAAGATAGCTGATTATTGAAAGAAAAAGTGCTTCACTATTAACTGGCTTCAGGTAAATTCACCTAATTTTTTTATTATTATTTGAACCGAGTTGAGCCATTGCTCATGGGCAATTTTGCCATAGAGCTTGAATATAGATGCCCTGAATGATGTGGGAGAAATTCCCAAAGCTGGTTCAGGGTTCTAGAAAATCCCACTTGAGCCAGCCCGTGTTCACGCAGTAATAGAGAGGGATTAATAAATACTATGAAGCACCAAAATGTTACAAGGTGTATGTTCTTAGTTTTAAATTAGTAAATTGTTTGAAATCAATTATAAGTCAATGAACAACAAGGATTATCCCTTAATTTGTTTGATATAAAATAATTATATTAAAACTTCAGGTGTCATGTCATGTAGTAATTACGGATAGTTATATATGTTGTAGACTAATTGGAAAAACTCCTATTTTGCAAATTAAGGACGGCATTTGTTAAGTGCACTGGAAAGTAACATCAGCAGTTTGCAGGGAAGCATATTTTTAATTAGCCTACATATGACATATGCATTTATTGACCATTCATCTACACATAATTAAATTTTTTGTAAGAAAAATATTTATGTATTTTTTTGTAAGAAAAATATTTATGTATTTTTTTTTCTTTTAAGTTTTCCTATATTCAAATATGTTATTTAACCATTTAATTATTAAGATGCCTTATTTGCAGGTTTTATGTAGTATTGTAAATTATTTACTTTAATTTTATTTGTCTATCGTAAACATCAACTATACATAATTATAAAATTTACACTTAAAGAGAGTGTATCAAAAGTAATTTTTTTTAAACAGCCAAAGCTTTTACGTTTTAACTCATTTTCAATAATGTATACTAGTGTTTAAAATTATATTTTTCTAGAAGTAAATTTTTGTGATAAAATTTTAATGCTAGTTTATTCTAGTACTTGTAACAGATTCGTTGATATTTTATTGAGGGGAAAAAATAATATTTTGACTGATCAGCTGAGCTATATAAATGTTGTGTTTGATGTGTAATGTGTGAGAAGTAAATGAACACATAACTCTCTTTTAATCTCTATTATGGTGTAATGATAAATATTATTTATTTTACACCTTATGCTACACAGGTTTGCTGTTTCACTTTTTTCCCCTTTTGAAAATCTCCTTATTTGTAGTGTAACTGATTGGTAGCTTCAGTTACATTAATGCTAATGCTGACTTCCAATTTAGAGTTTGCGACTATTAAATGTTCAACTTCGTAGCCATATAATTTTGAACCCAATCCAGAAAACAAGAGAACTCCTGGATCAAGTATTGGGAGAAAGTTTGTCAGGAAAATCAAATTGGAAATTTAAATTTATTCAGAAGTGTAATGTTACATATTTATATTCCAACAGATAGTTATAATTTTGATTTTTATAATCTTTTATTATATATTATCTATGAACTATTTGATTTCTAGATATTTATAACTGTTTTATTTCTAGCTGATAATCTCATATATTCAAATGCATTTTTAACCCTCTGTTTTTATTTTTAAAATATTGTTTATGAACATATATTTAATATTATTTTATATATGTTTGTTCTAGTTAGCTCATTTGTTGAGGGCTGTCACATGTCTCGATTTAACAACACTCAATGCTGATGACACACCTAGCAATGTTGAACGACTTTGTTACAAAGCATTACATCCAATAAAACCTGATTTGCTATTGAACTTAGGAATTGAGGCAAAAGGTAATACTAACATTGTTAAACTCCGTTGCAAGTTAAAAAAAGATCATTGTAGTATAAAATTTAAGTAATTATCCGCGAGTGCAAGTAGTTCTATCTTATTTCATTATCAGATTCTACAAATATGCTTTCAAAACAATTTAAAAGTTAAACACGTCAAATAGAAGTTTAATTTGTGCTATTTTTTACGATATATATATGGCAGAATTATTAAAAACAGCTTATAGTTTCAAAGTTTAACTAGAATCCTAGTCTATGCAAAATATTTCAATAAATAAGAAGAACAGTCATTCTTGAAAGAGAAACAACTATATGATGCTGCAAGAGAATGCTTGAATTGGATTAAAATTTTTACTTTTATTTCGCTGTAGAATAAACTAGTCTGCAAAAAAAAAAACAAATATTTATTGTTTTTTTATCAGTTTCTTTCAATGTGAATAGAAAGATGTACATTTGTTATGGTTTTTAGATGAAATTTTTATTAATTCTTACTATTAATTAATTGATTATTCAATAAATTTTGTTTTCCTCATTTCAAACGATTTAAGAAAGAAAGCTAAAAGAAGGCTGTACAACGTTATTTCAAGAATTGGTGATGCTGGTATATGCTTGCTGAGGGAGCTTAGTGTCCATTTGGCGTACAGTTAGATGCACGCAGTTTTTCCTTACTAGCAACAGAGTATAATTCAATTATTGATTTTATCTTAATGACAACATATGATATGCTGGTAACATTCTGAAGTTTTCAGTCTGAATACTTATTCTTCAACATAACCTACTATTTAACTTCAATGCACATAATATGCATGTATTATTTTTACACATTTTCTTTTATCTTAAAGCATTTTTTATTAAAGTTATAATAAAATAAAAAGAAACTTCTGCAATAAAAAGAAAATTTTACACTACCCTACAATAATGGAAGTTTTAGTTTTAAACATTTTTATAGATTTCTCAAATACATAGAGGATTATTTTGTAACTTAAGAGGTATTTACTTCATGCAATTTTTCATACTTAACAATAAAGATTAAAGCTTTTAGAGGCTTTAGAGACCGATAATAACAAGTATTTTGAACACCCTATGCCTCAATAAGTTTGTAATAACTTATATTGATATGGTTGTTATTTGCAATAAAAGCACAAAAAAATTTCGTAAACGTACCTTAAATATTTATGGAGATTATTATACTTAAATATTTATAGAGATTATTGTGGAAAGTAAATTTTTTTTTGAAAAAAAAAACTTGAACTTTGATTTGAACTTTAAAAAAAATCATTAAAAACTGTCTAAGATATGAGTATTTAAAGTGTGTTTTTCTTATACTGCGCATGCTTGGAAAATTTTCACTTTTTTTTTCTTCATACTTTTGTAGTTAATCATATTTGGTAACTAATGAAAAAAGTTTGATTAAAATATCTTAAATATTTCAAAAGTTTCCAGCAATTTTCTAAGTAGTCTTTGTACTTTTTTTAAAAAAAGCTCAAAATGATAATAGGTTTTAAACAAGTAATACTTATGTATGTAAATATATATATAATGTAATGATATCCCGAATGAATTAAACTGTTCAATATGCAGTTTTTTTTTTTTGTTTTTTTTTGTTGAAAGCACCACTATCTCTATTTAGATAATAAAGTATTTCTGTTTATTGATCTGGTATCGGGTGGAAATACCAGAAACTTGTTAAGTACTTATCTGGAAATAATACTAAGGAAAAGTTTGATACAAAAATGTCACCTATGGAAACTGTGTGGCTCATCTTTTTCTTGCCCAAGCTTTTTACATATATTTATAAAATATTTTATTATGTTTAGTATGAATTTCCATATCTCAAATATTTTATGTCAAACTATTTATTTGTAAATATTTTAAATGTTACTAAGAATGCTGTCTGAATAGTTGGTTTTTTATTTAACACTCAGACTAATTTTTTTAAATTAAAATATCAATGTAAATCAATAATTTTTCCGTCTTTTTTTATTTATATATTTTAGAATTTCATACTGGGGCAGTATGTGTTTACCCTGCAAGAATAAAAGATTGTGCAAAAACCTTTAAGTGCCTGAATGCAGACATTCCAATTGCATCGGTTGCTGCTGGATTTCCAAGTGGGCAATATCACATGGAAACTAGACTTTCCGAAATCGAATGTTGTGTTAGAGATGGAGCTCGAGAAATAGATGTTGTTATTAGTCGAGACTTGGTGTTACAAGGAGATTGGGAAGGTATCTGGAATTTTTACATTAATCTTTTTTTCATTCTCTAAGCTTCTACCTCTTCTTAAGATTTGTATTTGTGACTTATCTGATCAATTCATATTTTCGAGTTATTTTTTAAAAGAAAATTATTACAGGGTGCGTAACCAAATTATTCAACAAAAAATAAGAACTTTTCAAGCACTCAAAAAATATTTTTAAGCACTTTAAAAAAAAATCATAATTAGGCAGTGTTGGAAAGTTTTTGACAATTGAAGGTTTTATCTTGTTTTAACCGTCATGTCAAAAAAAAAAAAAAAAAATTGGCATTGTTTTCGACAATTGTCAGAAATCATGAAATTTTGAATCATGTAAAATGAAAGGCGTTTTCATACACTACGGACTAACAATACGCCGAAATAGATTTGGGTTGAATTAATTGTGAAAACGTTGAATAGAACAATGTGAACTGTGTCTTTTTATATAATTCGAAGGGAAAATCCAACGTGTAAAAGGAAAAATCTCATTTTGAATATGGGAAATTAAGCACTTTTTAAAAACACCCAATGAAAAAAAGCACCTTTAAGTGCTTTTAAAGAACAAAAATCGAAAATAAGCACCTTTTAAAAACGCTACACACCTTGTATTAATTAAAACAAAGTTATAATTAACTCTTTAGCAGTTCTGATGAGATTTTTTTTAAGTTATTTAATAATAGCACAGATGCAAAGAACAGTGACTATTTTTTTTAATATTTGAAAACATGAAAAGTTATTTGATGCTTTTTCAATTACATGATTTTTTTGTAAATAAGATACTTGATAATTCTGCAATATTCTAGGAACTTTTGAAGACTGTGAAAACTTTGAAGAAAATCTTTATAATTAAGAAACCCTAATTTTCTATATGCTTAAACACGGTGCGTAGCCAAATCTTTCAACAAAAAAAGCACCTTTTAAGTACTTTTTAACAGGGTTCCCACGGTCCTTGAAAGTCCTTGCATTTTTTTTTGCTAAATTTAGGTCCTTGAAAGTGCTTGAAAAACATCTTAGGTCCTTGAATTTGTCCAATACTGCCGACGGCCCTTTTTATAAAACACCCGCGGATCTTTCTCATTCTTTCTGTTTTGTTCCGGAGCTCTCTCACGTGGTTTTTAACGCCACCGTTTCTAACCGGGCTTAGCGTCTTGGTGTCTGCCAAGCGCGCGGAGCACAGCAGACAATCAATGCGTTCGGGGCGAGACTCCACTTCATCTTCTGTCGCATATGCTTAGATCTTCTTTTTTCTTATCGAAACTGGAATACTCTCGAATTTCGTAACAATATGTACCTTGTAGTTTTCAATAAATTTGCCGTTTTACCATCCGCACTTGTCCTTACGTTTGCGTCATTTCAAAACTTTATTGTAAAGCGTATTCGCAAAGGCACGGCTTCGTATTTGTGTTATGTAGTTTAGACTAGTTATGCCTGGGAAGTGCTATTTTAATCCCCAATGGATGGATAATCAAGCTTATAAAGAATGGATTTTATCGATGCCCGAAAAGAAGTTCAGAGCCAAGTGCCGATTATGCATGAAGGAGATCGATATCGCGAAAATGGAAGAATCTGCTCTGAAATCACACATGAAAGAAAGGTAAAACAAAAAAGCAGTCTCATGCCCTGAGTTCTCTTTTTCCAAAGACATCAACATCTAATTCATCTGGTGTAAATACTCCTTCAACATCGTGTGCCCCATGTGAAACAGAAACTTTAGTGGCCGAGGTAACATTGTCTTCTTATCTGGTCAAAAGGAATGTGCTTGATGCTGAAATTCTCTGGAGTCTGAAGTGCATCACTAGTAATTATTCATGTAACTCCTGTGAAGGGATTAGTAAATTGTTCTCCAAAATGTTTGCTGATAGCTGTATAGCGAGACAATTTTTTTGTAGTGCCACAAAGTGAGCCTATTTGGGCTCCTTTGGATTGGCACTATACTTCAAAGGGATTCTTATAAATGAGCTGAAGAATGTTGATTGCTACACTGTACTCTTTGATGAGACGTTAAATCAGTCTCTACAATCTAAGCAGATGGACATTATGGTAAGGAATTGATAATAAAGTTTGCACTAAGTATCTTACCTCCCAATTTATGGGTCATGGAACTGCAGAAAATATTTTGTCCTCTTTTTACAAATGCATGGATGATGGTTAAAAGCTCTCTAAAATACTTCAATTATCCATGGATGGACCCTATGTCAATTGGAAATTCTATTAGAAGCTTCAGTGTGAATTAAAAGAGAAATATTCCCACCAGGTCATATTCATTGGCAGTTGTGGATTACACATAACGAATAATGCTTTTAAACATGGTGAAAATGGGATATGTTCCTTCTAATTTTTATTTTCAGAAAGAATTGTTGCTGCATAACATTTAGAGAAGGTTGTGTAAATTATGGATGAATAATTTCAGAAACGATGTTTAATAGAGGAGAGGAGGGGGTTATGGAATAGTCATGGAATATGGAATACCTAAGATTTAGCTCTGTCTTTCATGCAGCCTTCACATGGAAATACACAGGATTAAAGGATTTCACCATTAACACCTCATTACCATTAGTTATAGATTGTGCTGAAAATGATTTTGTGAATTAATATGTAAAACCAGTAGGGTTGTTTTTAAAAAAATATAAATTTTAGTCCATAATACATATACTCTCTTCTCTCTATATAGGCAAAGCATTTAGGTATTATATTTGAAATTAATTATTGCCACAACAAGCATTGTTGCTTCTAGTAAAATAGAAGAGAATAATTTTTAAAATTGGTCTTAGATTAAGGTCCTTGAAAATTTTGTTGAGGTCCTTGAAAAGTCCTGGAAAGTCCTTGAATTTCAATCTCATCATAGAGTGGGAACCCTGTTTAAGCACTCAAAAAATATTTTTAAGCACTATATACATTGACAAAATGCAAAATAATTTTCAAAGACTTCATATGATCATGAGAAAATAACTAGTTTCTGACAAAGAACTCTTTTCTTGATTGTATTAGCCATTATAAAATGATCGAGAGATTTTTCGGTTCGATATCAGAGGGAGGAAAAGTCAGAAATTGGGAATATCTTGCAAAATGCAGCAGTGTCACATGAGAAGGCAATAATCTCATCGAACCCAGCTCAGTAAATGCACATACAGACTCGCAAGTATTTCATCAGACATGTAAAATGACTGGCGCTTTCATACGCTATGGACTGACGGTACACTGAAATGAATTGTGAAAACGTTGAATAAAACAATGTGAAAAGCACGCTTTTGCATAATACATGGCAAAAATGGACATGGTAACGGGAAAAAAACACATTTTTGAAAAGAGAAAATTATGCACTTTTTAAAAACACCGAATGAAAAAAGCACCTGTAAGAGCTTTTAAATAAGGAAAATCGAAAATGAGCACCTTTAAGCACTTTTTAAAAATGATATGCACCAAGTTTAAAAACCCCAAGTATCAATATGGTGTAAAAAATCAAATACTATAAAATATAATTTGAGTCTAATTATTATAAGTAGAATGTGACATTTTATTGTTATTAAACAAAAATTAATCTTTCCACCTTTTGTTTCAGAATTGTATGAACAGGTGAAACAAATGAAAGAAGCTTGTGGTCCAGAGGCATCCCTCAAAACAATTATTGCTGCAGGAGAATTGGGTTCCTATTCAAACATTTATAAAGCAAGTGTAGCTTGTATGGCAGCTGGTAATGACATTTTATAACACTTATATGCACACATTTAATGCTGGGAGAACTAGAGTTAAAATGTGCTAGTTTTGATTCATATGTTTCTCTGGCATAAAGCTATTCATAAATGTCCAATTTATTTTTCATTAGTAATTCAATATTGATCTCATAACTATTCTCAATGTTCATTTTCCTTTTTTAATTTTTATTTAAATGAGAACAGGTTTTCAGTTCATTCGTTTTCAGTTTATGCATACAATGAAATCAAATTATGAACTAGACTTGACGCCACTTAAGCCCTGTAAATTCAACTGTCTGACATAAAACCCAATTTTAAGACTAGTATTGTTAAAACTGCACGATGAAAAAGATTCTTAATTCACTTATTAAATACACAATCTTAATTCATTCAATTACACATTCTTAATTCATTCATTAAATAATATTAAAATATTTTCAAAATAATTAATATAATTTTAATTGATTATGTATTTTTAAAATAAATAATTATCCTTAGTAAATTTCTTTTAAGTCTCGGGGTTCTGCTTAAAGGTCTTAATTCATTCATTAAATACACATTCTTAATTCATTCATTAAATAATATTAAAATATTTCAAAATAATTTATATAATTTTAATTGATTATATATTTTTAAAATAAATAATTATCCTTAGTTTTTACTACTCAAAACTAAAATCTAGCTTTGAAGCGATCAGATGAACTCCTTTAATTGTTTTGCGAAGGATACCTTTTTCAAGATACCAATGAAAGTGTCACCTGTTGCACAAGTTTCGAACATTCTGATAAATGGTGAAAACGAAAAAAAGTACGGAAAAAAAAATTTACATTTCATGTATTTTATTTAGAAAAAAAATTCTTTTTTTTTTTTAAACCTTAGTCTAATTAACTAGTAAAAGGTGAAAAAAATGTGGTATAATTTTTTTGGTTAAATATTCTAGCACTAATTCTAGTGTGTCTGCTTTATATGATTTATCTGTCAATTATGATCTAGGTTTGAATAAAAAAGTTTTTTAAAAAAAGTAATGAATTTGTGCTGTAATTTGTAGTTCATCAAATAAAATTGTCATTTCTTGTTCATTGTTCTCAAAAGACTAGCGATTCCTAATGGCTATAAGCATTAAAAATTAATCTGTTATAAATAAAACCTTTTTAGTTTTGACTTTTTAAAGCACTTGATTAATGTTTTAACCATGTTTTAATCATCTAATCTATTAGGAGCTGATTTTATAAAAACTTCTACTGGTAAAGAATCGGTGAATGCCACTTTACCTATTGGTTTCGTTATGACCAGAGCCATAAGAGATTATCTATTTGAAACTGGATATGAGGTATGTGCTGTTTAAAAAAAATAATTATATAATTACATTAATCTATGTTTATATTTTAACATAAAACTAATTATATTTCAGGTTGGCTTCAAGCCAGCTGGAGGAATCCGTACTTCCAAAGATGTACTTATGTGGCAATCATTGATGAAGATGGAATTAGGAAGAAAATGGCTTTTTCCAGATTTATTTCGTATTGGTGCCAGTAGTTTGTTAGGGGATATTGAACAAAGTCTATATCAAGCTGTATATGGTTGTTATGCACCTAAGCATATATTTCCTTTTTAAATAATATATTTTTATTTAGTATACCAATCTTAAAGCCATATTCCTGCCAAAAAATATATTTTTCTATAAATTTTAAGATAAATTATATTTATGTTAAAAAATATTTCAATAAAAAATTGTTTAAAATAATAATTACTGAGCCTACCTTTGCTTCTCACTTTTTAATGTATGAATCTATGCTGAGCACACTTTAAGGTGCAACTTAATTATTTTTGCACGTATAAATAACGTTTAATTCTAAGTTGCATAACCAAAAGATACCACCCATTTTTCATGATATTTAGGATGTTTATGTTATCACAGAAAAAGCTTTCTCCCAATAATCCATTGTGAGCCAATGGGGTCATAGAGGTCAACACTCCCACAATTTTGTAACCCCCAGTATGATGCTGACCTCATTAATGAGCACAGCATTGTACACCGGCCAACTGTAAATAAATTTTTAGATTTAAAATAAATTTTTTGAATTCATTCCAAAAATAAAGTAAGTGTAAACATTAATATTTAAGTTAGAAAAAAAAAGCACTATAAAAATATGACGAATCATTATTAAAGAAAGTGAAATTAAAGAACTATTTGCTTGATGGAGAAAATAAAAAGTTGAATGATGATTTTTAGAAATACCTTTCAAGTTTCAGTCAGCAATCAAACTGGTTTTGATGTTTTTCATCCTTCCTTCCTTATTAATAACAAGTTTGCAATACATTTCTCCAATTTTAAACAAAAAGTGTTGCTAAGTGTGCTACAAAATTCCTCAAAATGAAAATACAACAAAAGAATCATATAGAATTATCTCTGTCACAAAACCAGCAAATGAAATTTTTCTATTTTACCATTTTTACTACAGTGTCCAATAATGTAAACATTAATTAAAAGCAACATAACTTTAGAAAAAGTTTATTTTTTCATTACAAAAAAATTCTGTACAGATTTTCTTGACTTTAAAAATAAAAAGGAATAATAAGTTTTACAATAATAAAATAAAAAATAGAACATAAAGAATAAATTTTTAAACTTTTTATTGGTGTTCATTCTAGAAAAGTATCTGAGGGAGAACATGATATACAATACACAGCACTGCCATAAATATTCAGAGTTCTTAAATTATTCAAGATTGATAGGAAGGTTGTCTGCTTGATAGAAAGCCATAAAAATATCCTTTAAGTAACTTCTGTATAAATAAAAAAAATTTAACCTTTTAATATGAGATCCATTTAATGATATAGATTTATCAAAAAGAATTTTATTTTGAGATTTTCTTTAATTTAAAATAAAAAGAAAGTATCAAGTTTAATAATATGGAAGCAAAACAATAAATACAGTTCAATTTTATTCCTGCAGAGTGAAAATTAAGGTTGAAGATAAACAAATTTTAAAAAAAAAATTATAAGACCAATTTTTTTTATATAAAAACCCATGTTTTAGGAACCTTGCACATAAATTTTTCCCATGACTTGTGAGAATTTTAGCTACATTCCTTAACTTTTCTCTTATGTGGCCATTCTGTTCTTCGTTTATTTAAGTCTGAAGAAGAACATGTGTGGGTGCCACTCTAAAACAGAACTTATTTTTTGACCAATTAATATGATCTAACTTTGTTTACCGGAATTTTCAGAAATTTATAGCTTACTGACTCGGAAATCTGTACCTTTTTATGATAATGGCACATATATTAAATCAAGAATTTGATTATATTTTTAAAAATTTTTCTCATTTTATTAATTTTTTAACCGCAATAATAAATCACTATTTTTTTCATAAAGCTATTCAGATCTCTACTTTTTTTTTCCATCTTTATTTTTGTCTTTCTCTAATTTTTTTTTTAAAAAACAACAACCATATTTTAACTTTTATCAGCTTTCAAAACTTAGGAGTAAAACCAAAACTGAAGCAAATTTAGACACATGGTACAAATTTTGTGCAAGCAAGCAGGCACTAAAGCATTGTTTGAAGACACTCATTTTTTTTTTTTGCATAATATTTATGTTTTTGAATACTTGTGTAATTGAAGCATCAATCCCATTTTTTCATTTCGTTGTGACATCATTACTTGATAATTATGCAATAATTATGAATAATAACTATGTTTTCATTACAATTTATTATATTTTTAACAGAGAATATTTACAAAATTTTTAAGGATAAAAACACATTTTAATTTAAAAAACAAATGGAGAAAAAAAAGTATTAGTTGAGAAAATTTAGTCTACTGATTTTTTCTCAAGACTGAAGAGTGGCCCCCTTGAACATGATATATCCAATAGTTCAAGATTGAAATTTTTTTTAAAGAAAAAAATAATGCTAGAGAAACAGTAGTATAATCTAACATATGTATAAATAAAACAATTTTCTTATATCCCACTAAATCTAATATGCTCATATTTTGATATTATCTGATCTAACCCATTTGAACTACTTCTTAATAAAAACAGCATATTAAGAGCAACATAGTTTTAAAAACAAGTTTTATTTTTTTATTACAAAGAAAATCTTATTTACAGATTTTCTTTCCTTTAAAAACAAAAGTTTCACAATATTGAAATAAAAAATAGGACAAAGTAGCGATTTCTTTTTATTGGAGTTTAAAATAGCATTTATTCTAGAAGTTTGATGGAGAACATGATATACATAATGTTTGCATAGTGTCTTTCAATAGTTCAAGAATGAAAGGATTTATTTTTTTTTTAACAGTCTGGAAGTATGCATGAATAAACAAAAACAGTTAAAATAAAAAAAAAGAATTCATAAATTAACTTCTGTATAAATGAAATGATTTTTAACTTTCACAGTCTACCGATTATCCTGCTCATCTGATCTGCCAGATTTATCAGCTTTGTTAGCAGAGTTTCTTGATGAGCGAGACGTGCAGTGTTTTTCCCAGTACTGCTGATACTTCGTTCGAGTTTCATCCATGTTGTCTTCGTCTACTTTTTGTCGCTTTGGTTCGGTCTCATTTTCGGTATCACTTTCTTTTCTCTTATCTACAGAGTTGGGAGGAGTGTTTTCACAAATTTCATTCTCACTGGAAGATTGAATGGATGATGAAGGTGCGATAGGATGTACCCTCGGTCTTCCTCTGCGACGTTTGACGGCAGTGTTGGAGTTGACGACGGGTGCTGACACATTCCTCAGCTCCGTTATAGTCATGTTATCAGTAGTTTCAACACGATAACTAAAATTGAAAATAAGAAATTAATTGAACAAATGGCAAATGAAAAGCAGATAAAAATTAGTTACAAAGACATATTCTACGAGTGGTTAAAAAAAAAATTTTATATATATAAAAATTTTAACTCACTTTACAAAATAACAAATTGAAATATATTTACTAATAGTTAGTGATTATGAATAGCAAAAATCTGTGCTCATATTATGTTTTATAAACCTCGATTTTACCTGGGTTTATATATATATATAACAGGAAGTTTGAGTTTGATTCATAAAAATTATATGTATACATTTATAACTATGTTTTTATTAATTTGCTTATGTGTGGAATTCTGGCATAAACTAACAGACACAAAATGAAAAAAAATAATTAATAAAATAAATAAAAGAGAATTTTGAAAAACTACCAATTATAAAGTGGACTTAGAGAAAATAATATTTTTATATAGATATTAATAATCAATATAACAAAAATTATCTCATTAGCATAAATACAATATTGACTCCAACCTCTGATCAGATTTTTACAGTAGTAACCGAGAAAACTTTCAGTAGTTAACGAAATATGCTTGGGCAAATTTAAGGCATGAAACAACTAGCAATTAAAATTAAAAATTAACTATTTTTTCGGACTTATTTTGTGTGTAATAATAACAATAATATTGTATTTAAAATATTAAAAACTAGGTGGAAATGGTAGCTAACACAATAAATAACTACCGGAAAACTATAAATAAATGTTATAACAGTGACAAACAGTAACTGTTGAAAAATTACCAGCAAAAAGGGTAGCTTCACTACAGAATAAGTCGCATGTTTACACTGCTTTAGAAATATCGGAATTTGAAAATGGGCTAAAAAGATTGGGATACACCAATGATTTATGATGGGATCATTGCTAACCGAGTGCATAAAAAATTATTACTCGTATCTGAAATTCGTGTATCGTAATAACAGCATAAAAAATTTGAGAATTAAAAAAAACAAGTGGAAATGAACTAAAAACGAAAATGGCTTAGATTTAAAGTGGAATCGTTGAAATTTGGACACGCCAAAAAAATTACAGCCAGAGATCAGAAGAAGAAATCCAAGGAGTCCAAAATTTTAAGGACTTATCAAACATTAAAAAACTTTGTGTAAATGATAACTAGGCATTTTTTTTAGTTAAAAAGCAGTTATTATAAGGAACTTGCAAAAATTTGTAGTTTGCATATTTTTTCTAGCCCTTTTCTTTAAATTTAGACTTTGTCAAACTTCATCAAGAAAAATAAGTAAAGTTATCACTTTTACACATAAATACATTTTCCAGTTTCAAATATTTTAATAAATCTTGTTAAAGTACAGATGTTAAGGAGTAACATAAAAACCTACCAATCTTATATTTTTAAGTTTGAATACATAAGAAAATCTAAGGCATTTTATAAGTAGAAAAAAAAATCACAGTAAATTATTAATTAAGTTTTCTTGTAACATGTAACATAAACATTTTTTGCTATTATTTTTCTCTTCTAACTCTTGCAATTAAATTTTTTTTTCCTCTTAAAGTTTTTCTTAAACTATTAGATTTCGACAGCTAAGTCATATAATTTAATTTCCCTGTTTGGACAGCAAATTCATCAGCGTACTTAGTAAGTTCATCTATGCAACACAATAATCTAAGGACTAAATTAGAAATCTAAGTAGTTCCAAGTACTCCTTGGAGACTTTTTTATTTCCAAGTAGTCTACAAGCTCCCTGATTATAACTTATATAAACTATGAATAAAGGACTGAAAAAGGATTTTTAAAAAATGACAAGTAATTACTTAAATGTGTAAACTGCCAGTTGTACTTTATATATCAGAAATTTTATAAATCTTAGGGAAATGGCTTAAAACACTATAAAGAGCTGTTGAAAAGCAATCTGAAAATGATGGATTTGCAATGGAAGACTTTAATCAGAGCTCATTAAAAAGAAAATAATAACTTCCATACAAAAATCATATTATGTGCATAGGAATTTGAAAACAGGGGAGGAAATGGCGGGGAAAAACTATCACAATCTAACTGTTCCGTAGAATTGATTATAACTCTCATAGACCATAATAACTAGTATTTGGAGTCACTGGAAATAGTTACACGACATGCTTTCTACTTTAACCATATTTAAATAAGAGATTATCAATAAAAAAATAATAAATGATGTTAAAGCATTGTTTGTAATGTTATTGAATCTTCAAATTAAGGAACTCCTAACTAATACAAAAATTACTAGTATTTAAATTTCATTGCAGACAATGAGAAAGAAAAGAACATGATTAAGAAAAGGATAATTTTAGCAAACCTATGTTGAGGTGGAAGGTCACTATCTACAAAGTTTTCATCCAATTCTTCATTTGCCATGACACTGTCTACATCATATACATTTTGGCTGCTACATTGTTGGTCTTCCAAAGATGGAGAATCGGCTATGACCATTTTCTTGGCATTAGTTCGAGCATTTGCAAACAACATCTCCAATTCAAGGCCAGATTTCTGTAATTTATATGTAATGAATTAGAGTCAGGAATAATAATTTTTTTCTTTTGAACTCTACACAAGTTTCAGAACTTTCCTGACTGCTACAAACAGAATTTATCATTAATGAAAATTCTGGACACTTTCCAGCTAGCAAGAAAGCTCAAATTTAAATGGAGCCCTCTTCTGCTTAATAATTCTAATTTAAACTGTTTCTTGATACAAGAAAGTTTTAATTCATTTTATCACCACTATAGGGAATTTATTATTGATTACTATTCTGGCCACTTTCTGACAAGCTTGAAAACTAAAATTTTAATCTGGTTTTTTTCCTGGGTAAGGTCGATTTTCTGGATGACAAACACTCTTTAACTTCTTAACGAAAAAAATATCACCATTACTAAAGGGAATTTATCAATAATTTTCCGAATAGCTCAAATTTTAACACAAACTTTTTTTATTAAGGTGAAAATGAAAGTTTCAACTGTCTCCAGTATTCAGTATAAATCAAATTTATAACCACTTATCACTCAGCTAGTAAGCACAAGCTAGAACTTGAACCCGGAGCAATGCAAGTTTCGATTGTTTACTAATTGCTACAAGCAGAATTTTATCATTTTATCGGTAAAGAAAATTTAAACAATCAATCAAAATCCCGACCATTTTTTTTATTAACTAAAAAGCTATAATTTTAACTGGTGCCATGAACAGAGTGGTATTACAAATTTTAAGCATTTACTGACACCTACATCCAGAATGGTTGTCTTAGCTGCAATTAATATTTAAAACACCTTTTTTCTAGCAAGTAATAAATTTTAACTGCATGATACAATTACAATTGTCCCTGAAATGGTGCAAGCAAAAGTTGTCCCCAATCGAAACGTCGACCATATTGCAACATAAATAGAAACAATATTAGAAAGGAGAAGAAAAAACAATACAATTTTTAAAACAATGTTTTTCAAGTAGACTCGATATGGGAAAATAATTTTATTTTTATCAGGCCTACAACTAAAAAAGTAGGGCATAACACTTTCGTAACAAACTTCTATCCTCTTACCACATCTTTTAAGGTAATGCATCCAACATTTTTTATTTTATGACTTATAAATTCCTCTTGTGGAGTTGATTTGAAAAAATTTACAGAATTTTTATTTTACTTATTAGCTATTTACATATGCATTTTGACAGCAATTAAAATATATAAGAAGCACACCCAATATTGGTTATCTGCATATTTTTAACATAACCATTAATTTTTTTTAATCGTTAATGACAATTTATAAAAATTAGTCAGTACATTTGGCATTGTTAGCTTGAAAAGAAATTATGTTTGTATTAATCTTATTTTTACTGCTTTTAATATTTTTAGAAGGATTAATCATCTTAATCGCTGTTCTTTTTAAATCAATCAATATTAAATAAATTACTGATTTAAATTGTTGACACTCTGGTAGGGTATATAATATGTAATATTGGTTTGAATAGAATATTGAGGATGTATTTTGTAAATTTCCATATAGCTTTAGAAATGTCAAACATAAAACAAAATTACCTTTGGAGGGTTAACAATCAATTCTGGAGGAAGATAGGTTTTCAAGTTAATATAAGTCTGGAAGGGAAAAAAAATATTTACACAACAATAAAACAGAATTAAAAAAAAAAGCAAACAAAACTTAAGACACAGATGCAAAAGTTAACAGGAATGGCAGAGAATGCCACTCCTGCACATAAAAAAGGGATCGTAAAATACTTAAACAAAATAAATTTTTCGACCAAAACTCCAATAAAATATAACTTCAAGTATGAACTTTCTTGTGAATGTTCTCGATTTTTTTTTCTTAAAAGGAATTCACTAATTGTAATACAAAACTGTACTAATAATTTCTGTTTCTCATAACCCGTTCTTGAAATTTATAGCCCACATTCAATACCAGCAATTCCGTATGTGCGCCTTATTTTTTAAAAAAAAATTTAATCTTTAAATTTATACATAAATTTATTTTTAAAAAGTCGAGCTGATCAAAATAAACAAAAGAGTCGATTTATTTGAAATCTCTCAAAAAGCCTCACAGAAAAGAAAAAAAAACATTTAAAATTTATTTTTGTGAACTGTTAGAGAGGTTATGGCCTGTTCTCAAGTTTTGCATCGGTGCCTTAGAATTTTCAGATATGTGACTGATAGGTTTCAAACTTACCTTATCCTGGTCTGTGTATAGTTTAGAAGGCAAAGTAGCTTCAACTGGAAATTCTTTTACAACAAAATTAGTAGTTTTTGAGATAATTATACTCATAGCTAGATCACTCACAGCATACAATTTCTGAAAATAAAATAAGAACCAAGGTTTAGAATCACAAATATTGATAACACTCTCGTTAAATTTTTTGAGAAATAAATATGATCTATGCATATGAGTAACTCAGGTTTTTTTTTTTTAAAAAAGGTAACTTATATTTCACTAGGCCAAACCTTAATGCCATTAAGGTCTTAATATAATAGCATTAACTGTTAAATGTTTTTTTCAAGCTTTATTTCTCTATAAAAAATAAAAAAACTGTTTTTTTTTTAAAAAAAATTAGAATACAAAAAAATAATAATAATAACTTAGTGTTGGAACGACACAGCTACAAAAAATAAAACTTGGATATAATTAAATATTATATTTAAGCTAAAATAAAAAGTCAACTGTTTTCACTAAAAATATTTAACTTCTTAACTATATAATAAAATACACATAAATATCTATATATAAAGATTCTTATCTATAGAAAAAATACTCTACATCAAAATTCTCACTCTGAAAGATAAGAAAAACCTTACCCAACAAATTTAATAATAACAAGATAATATTCTAACAAATTTATAACTATAAGCAAAGCAATAGTTTAAATAAGAGATGACATTTTAAAAAATAAATATTTTACTAACTAAGTTTGCTATGTCATCAGTGGGAGCTTGTTTATCCTTGGTCTGTTTGACTGCTTCCAGAAGTCTCTTATAAAAACTAAAACTATAATTTTCATGCTTCATAAGAGGTTCCAATAAAAACCATAAGCAGCTGAAAAATTAAACAACAATTAAAGTAAAAATATTTAAATAAAAAACATAAAATTACTTGCTGATATCACAATTTATATAAACACAGGTGTAAAGTTAAGTGCTTTATTTGTCAAGTAGGCAAATTACTATTATTGCCAATTAGGGTAAATATTAATCCCAAGTTTATATAATTGGGAAATTTAAATAAATATGATTAGAAGCATTTTTAACATTACACCTTTGTCTACATCCTTAGACAGATGAGTTTGGTCATGAAGGAGAGGCTCTTAACAAAAATGATAGCATAATAATTTAAGACAATACATTGTCCTTCTGTGCAGTATGACATCAACAAAAGCATTTATTATTAGTGGCATTCAGTGTTCAGACAGGCTCTTGTCTAACATTAGCCTATTTGGTTAATTTGCTTAAAAACATAAGTGAAATAAAAATAAATGTTATCATAAAAATAAATAATCATAATAATAAGTTCATAAAATAATCCATCTATAAATACTAATAAGTAACAATGCTTTATTAGCTACATCTTTTTAAATCTCCCATTTCAAACACAGTTTTAAAATTTTAGAAATCCCTAGTGGGCCTATTTCATCATCAGCATTGGCACGACAGCCCTTTGTGAGCCTGGGCCTTCCTCAGAAGTTTTCCCATTCTGCCCTTCTATTTAAGCATAACTTTCTTAACAAGATTCTATTCTTAACAAGAATATTTAAATTTAAGCATAACTTTTAGCATTTCTTAAGCATTAAACAAATTTAAGCATATTTAGCCTTATTAGGGTTCTCAATTCTCACTGCTACCCCTAAGTCTATTAACTACTGCTCACATATATTCGTACACTTACGTAATAGATTCAAATGTCATTGGTTCATTGAAGTTCTGAAAATTATTTTTTATATCAGAGACAAAAAAGAGCTGAAGGAGCAATTGAACTCAAAAAAATTGAAATGGAATCGACAAAATTATTGAGATTTAAATTTCAAACTGAATTTGAATATTTTTAAAAAAAATATTTTTTATAATCTTATTTTATTCAACTTGGATATTACTGGTTTCTATATTTATAGCAAAATATTACATAAATAAACACAAATGAATTATTTATGCTAATATGAGCAATTACATTTTTAATGATATTGGAACAAAACGACAAGCAGGTATAAAATAAAACACAAATTTTATTCAGAAAAATATGAAACAATACTGTAACAAATTTCAATTTAAAAAAATTTTAAATTAATAAAGAATTTCATTACGAAAGAAAAAGAAAGAACTCACTCTTTTAGCTTAAGCAAAGAAGGAATGTCATCAACTTTTTTGAAAGCTGGATCATGAGCTAACAAATGGATTGTATAAGGCAACACATAGTCTGGCAAGTAGTTGAATAACTTTGCTGGAAAAAAAAATATATTAATTCAAGCACAATGGAAGAAATGCTGAAAGCTATAAAGATATGTTTTAACAGAGAACAAGAAGCTATTTCTGAAGCATACTAAACTAAAATGCTTATAGCTTTCACCTTATGCAATAAACCTCAAAAATTATCATTTTCAAAAGAAAATCCTGATTTTTCTTATTATGTTTTGTTTTACCAATTTTCTAACTTCAAACAATGTTAAACAGTATAAATATAATTCCTAACAAAGAACAAGAAATTATGAATTATGCCAAGCAGACTTAAATTAATACCAATTTCATACTGTGCACTTCGTTCTCAAAAGAGTCACCCTAGGTTTTTTCTTATGTTTTGTTTTCACTAATTATTAAAACTTCAAATAATTTTACAAATTATAAGTAAATGTATAAACAGAGAACAATAAACTATTTCTGATGCATTGCGAAGCTTAAAAATTCATAGTGTACACCTTAGGTTCAAAATTCAAAAAATCCCTTAGTTTTTCTTATTATGTTTGGTTTTTACTAATTTTTTGAACTTCAAACATTGTTACAAATTATAGAGATATGCCTAAATAGAGAACAATAAAATATTTCCAGTGCATAATTGGCTTTAAAAAATTCATAGTGTATATTTTGGGCTCAATCCATCAGAGGTTTAACTTATTATTTTTGTTTTTACCAAATTTTAAATTTTAAACAATGTTACAAATTGTAAAGATGAATCAAAACAGGAGCTTTAGGGAAAAAAAATAATGAACTACTGAATTTATTTCATAAAATGCATTTTATGTGAAACATTTAAAAATAAATTTTAGTCACTTACCAGTAGTTATTGGGTTTTGCTTTAAATAGTCCCTCCTTTTATTTATGTTTGCTAGAAGATACTGTTTGAATTGTGCTTTCAAATCACGAGTTTTTTCCAAACCACCAAGTGAAAAAATGGCCATGAACTCCAATGGTAGTTTTAGCAGCATCAAAGCTTTGTGCAACTTTTGTGAAAATCTGTCACGAACTTGGTAGCATTCGTCCTACATATAAAGTTACATTTAAATTTATTAAGTTTCACTTAAAAAAACAACTTTATTTATGAATGTATAAAAGAAAAATGGACTACCTTGAATTGAGACCCCCAAAAGAGGGGGAAGCCGCGATATTGGAAATAAGGTCTCAATAGTTTGGTCAGGAGAGCGTTTCAAAAGTCTGGACCCCTTATGTTAATTTTACTTTTTACTGATTTTGCTATATCAAGAAATTTTTAAACAAATTTAAAAACTTTTGCACACAATTATAAAATTCGTTTATCCAAATAAAATCCCATGCAAAAAAATAAAGTTTAGAAATATTTTTAATTACTTTATTTAATAATTGTCAAAAAAAAGATTGAATTGTAAGGTATAAAATTTCTTACATCATTCTAAAGTATGCAAATTTACAAGATCAAATACAAAATTTGAGCGAAATTGGTTTAATAATTCCTGAGAAATCAAATTTTAATAACAAGACTTTTTTAAAATTTGATTTCTTAGCAACTGTTCAACCAATTTCGGTCAAATTTCATTCTTTGCCATGTAAAATTTTATATTTTAAAATGATAGAAAAAATTATACAGCTTATAACTCAATTTTTTTTTACCTTTATTTTAATCAATAAAAAATAATAAATATTAACTAAAATTTATGCTTTGTGTGGAATTGTCTTCCGATAAATGAATTTAATAATTGCATGCAAAAAATTTTCAATTAATTTAAAAAGTTCTTGCGATATGGTGAAGAACGCAAAAAGATTAACATTAAGGCATTCAACTTTGGTGCCCTATTTGTCAGAAAACAAATAACCAGTCTTCTTTTTAGTATTATTTAGATAAGTGAGTGATGACTCCTTCATACATAATTTTACTTTTTATATCATTAATTTCATGTTAGCATTTAAATTAAAATAATAATGGAGAATCAATTCTTCATACTTAATATTTTGAAACACACTCCATTTAGTTTTGTTAATTAGTGGGGAGTAAATGTAACTAATTTTGCAATGTCAGAAAAAAAAATGCATTATTTCTTTTATTTATTCATTTTTTTTTTTTTTTTTTGCTGTTTATGAATTTAAGTTTACTTAATGTTTTTGAAGCGTTAATTTATCAAACTCAGCTTTTCACTTTGTCGCTAATACGAGAAAAACATTTAATAAATTATAATTATTTACTTAAAATTTAAAATCTATAAAGCATTTTTATAATCATAAAAATAATTTAAGATATATAAAAATTAAAATATATAAAAGATGGTTACGAATCATCTTAATTATTTTTCTCTAATTTGAATTAAATAAATAACTACAATTCTTTGAGCAACTAATAAACAGTTAATTTCAAAAAACTATTTTCTAACTATATTTAGTTATAGATTTTTCCAACATAAATTTTATCAAAAAATAATTTAAATATTATTCTCAGAAAACTTTATCGAGCAGAAAATAAAACTCTTAAATAAACTTTTGGTAGTTGGAATTATGGTAATGAAATGGTAAAAGAAAAATTTAATAAATAAAATAAAACAATCATAAAATATATAATAAATGCTCAATTTTCAATAATGTTAAACATGTATTTTTTCATTAATATTTAAGTGTAAATTTGAACAAATCACATTATGTTTACAAATAATTTAGGAAATTGATTACTCACATTAATCATAAGAGCTAATACTTGAAACTGTTCTAGGCTGATAACTTCAGAATAACTGGTTTCTTGACACAATTTAAGCATGCAAGTTGCAGCAGTCAATCTCAACCAAGACTTTTCAGATGGTCTGAAATTGAAATGTCAAAGAATAAGACTTTGATTATAAGATTAGTATATATAAATATACATCTATGTGTGTTTTACGTTTAAAATAATAAAGCTAATTGTCATTTATAGCTCCATTTCTTGGTAACCCTGATAAATTATAAACATTAATGAGTAATTATTAATAACTGCCAGTAAAGTCTCATGAATGATTAAATAGGCCTATTTTATCGAAACTTTATATAATTTTTATTTACCACTTTTATTTCAACGTAATTTTTATGCCTAGGTACTGTGATAAGAAATCTGCCATGGTAGAGATTAGGAGAGTTAAAAAATAAATGACTACACCAATTATGGATTTTTACTCATGTTTTAATTTAAAATAATACCTTAAAAGTTCAATATATATATCATTATATGTATTGAAATCTTGAGTTTATAAATTTTAATATCACAACAAAAGATTAATTATTAGTTTCTGAAATATGGTTCCAGCGCACAGAAAAAACTGGTGTCTGCATCCAAAGAAAACAAGCAACTGACATTGTCTAAATGTTTGTGCTGGAAAATAACATTACACATGCATATTATAAATCTCTAGCCAACTGTGTTGAAAATTATTACATTGACTAAACTTCATGCGTAATTATTAACAATAACTGATAAATGAGATCAATTCTAAAAGATTAATCACTTAAAACAAACATACTTGGTAAAAATCAATAACAATCACCAATTATTATTAACAACTGATTTAATATGACTGTAACATACAAGGTCTGGCTATTAATTTCCAGGACTCATGGAATAACTCAGAAGAAAAAAAAGTTAAACACTTAGCCATTTAATATTATTCGAAGTAATCCCTATCAGCCGTAATACACGTCTGTGCTCGGCTGTACAAATTTCGGAAAGAAGTTTTAAAGTCCACTTTTGGAATGCTCTTTATTAGTGACGTTACAGTTTTCGTGAAGGCTTCGACATCCTGAAATCTTGTTTCCTTCAGTGAATTTTTCTGCTTAAGAAACAGGAAAAAGTGTGTGCTAGGTCTGGCGAGTATGGTGGATGCTGCGACTCAACGACACCAGGCTGAGCTAAGAATCGCCTCACAGGCAAACGCAATGTGTGGATGCGAACTTTTTCAATTGCTTCCGGCTTGCGTGCGAACTGCAGCTGAACTGTGTGCGGATCATCTTCCACGCTTTCGCGTTCAAAAGCGTTTAAACCATTCAAAAGTTCTTGAGCGAGATAATGCTTCCTTGCCATAAACTTGTTTTTAACAATTTGTAGGTTTCTGCAGCTGTCTTGCCCAATTTGAAGCAATATTTAATGTTAATTCTTTGCTCCATTTCACTTCGACAACAGGAATTTAAGAGCTCCGTTTTAAAGCGCCTTTCCACGAGAACCACTCACTTCACTCACTGGCGCCGATTGCACTGCACTGCACATGCGCAAGAAAACACTCTTCAATATGCAATCATAAGCGCCATATTCCGGCTTTTCTTTCTCCTACAGTTACCTCAGTCCTGGAAATTAATAGCCGGACCTTGTATATAACAAATGATAGATGCACATGATATGTAACATTTTAGATATATACATCATGCAGTACATTCCATGAAGATCAAGCTAAACAGATATTGTTAAAATCTAAATCCATAAATTCCACACATAAAATAATCACAACAGTGGTTGCAAATTAATATTCAAAGCAAGGATAAAAAAAAATGTGATCAAAATCTCACAGATCAAAAATCAGGAAAGGGATGTATAGAACATCAAAACCTATCTAATTGCAAGTTAAAGCTTTAAACCATTCATGACAATTCTCTTTCAACTGTACTTTGTTTCCACCCACAATCAAAGAGGTTTTGATGGTGCCATCCTCAACTATGATTTGTCAGATTTCGATAGTTAATTTTTCCTCTCACATTAAGATTAGTTTTAAAGACTAATCTATATTCTTTTTTTCTTTACTTTTTTTAATGGATTCTAAAAATTCACATTAGCGATGGTCTCTATCATGCCAAAATGCAGTTTTACTTACGAAACATGTCCTTTTTCCATTAAATCACCTCTATGTAAGATCACAGTCGTTAATAAGCGTAAAGTAGATACAGCAGATTGCGATGCAGTTTTTAGGCCCAACAACCACCTAACAATCATTTTCATGCCTTCAACCTAAAAAATAGAACAATATTATAATTAGCAACAATTAAAAGTTTTATGATACATTCGGTATATTTCAGTACATATCGTGTATATTCACTTATTTTAGTAACTCTTATAAATCTAATTTACAGGGCACACATACATTAGGATCAAGCACACTAAAGTAGAAATACCAAATGCTGCATTATACTTGAAATACTCAGGGATGAGATTAGCCAAAACGCAAAAAAGCTGAATTTCTACGATGGTAAATTTTACGCAAGCACAACCCTTTAATAATAAATTCCAGACAGTTTAAGGTAATAAATAATGTGTTGACATACAATTGTGTACTAATCTATTATTATAAAAACGATTACATTGATACTCAACATTTAGTGGGAAAAAAAATTACCAATTGAAAAAATAAAGCTGGAAATTATATTTTTCCTCAGCTCACATAAGAAACAATTACTACTTGAAAAACTACCTGGTTTAGCAAATTAAAACTACTGAGAATATAAATTAATATTTCATTTCTTTTAATAAATACTGTTATGTGATTTATAGCAAATATATCAGTAATATTACTTTTTAAATTATATTGG